TTCACATTGCAAGGTGGTGGAAGCAGAGAGAGAGAGGGAGGTGCCAGGATCTTTTAAACAACCAGCCCTCGTGGGAACTATAACAGAGCGAGAACTCACTCATTAATCCCCCTCCCCCAGGGAAAACATTAATCCATTCATGAAGGATCCACCCCCATGACTCAGTCAGTTTCCAACACTGCCACCACATTCAGGATCAAATTTCCACGTGAGTTTTGGCAGGGACAACACATCCAAACTCTATCATTCCTCCCCTGACCCCCAAAACTCATGTCCCTCTCACATACAAAATACAGTCATTCCATCCCGACAGTCCCAAAAGTCTTAGCTTGCTCCAGCACCAACTTAAAAGTCCAAAGTTCACAGTCTCATCTGAGACCAAAAGCAAAAGTCCTTCCAGTTGTGAACCTGAAAAACAAAACCAAATTTATCTACTTCCAAGATACAATGGTGGAACAGACATTGGGTACACATTTCCATCCCAAAAGGGAGGAATAGACCAGAAGAAAGGGGTGACAGGTCCCAAACAAGTCTGAAACCCAGCAGGGCAGGCATTAAATCTCAAAGCTGGTGAATCAGGTGTCTTGATTCCATGTTCGACCTCTGCATGCTGTTGTGGGGGTTGGGTCCCCAAGTCCTCAGGCAGTTCTGCTCCTATGGCTTTCCTGGTCTCAGGTGATGCTTTAGTTCTCCCAGGCTGGCATTGCACGTTGGTAGCTCCACAGGTCTGGGGTCTCCATGGCAGACCCGTTCTCATGGCTCCACTAGACATGGCACTGTTGGGGTTTCTTTGCTGCAACTCCCACCCCACATTTCTGCTCAGCATTGCTCTAGGGAAGGTTGTCTGTGGTGACTCGATTCCTGTGAGAGATCTCTTCCTGGGCCCCCAGGCTTTTCCATACATCCTTTGAAATCTGGGTGGAGGCTCCCAAGCCTCCACAGCCCTGGCATTCTGTCAGCCTGCAGACCTAACACCATGTGGATGCCGCCAAGACTTCAGGCTTGTATTTTCCAAAGCTGTGGGTCCAGCCACACCTGGGGACAATTTAGCCACAGCTGGGGCAGCCAAAGCAGCCAGGGTGCTGGTGCTGGAAGCAGATTCCTGAGGTGGTCCTGGGCAGTGAGCCCGTGGAGGGTGTCTTAGGCCTGTTCCCCAAGACCATTCTCTCTCCCTAGGCCTTTGGGCCTGAAATGGAAGGGCTGGCCCCAGAGGCTTCTGCAATGCCTTCAGGGCCCATTTCCCCTTCTCTTGATAATCCCGTACTTTTGTGTTAATCTTCTTAACACCACTGAATTTTTCTTCTGAAAATGGTCTCTGCTTCTCAAACACTTGTCCAGGCTGCAGATTTTCCAAATCTTTACACTCTGCTTCCCTTTTAAGTTCTGGCTTTATGTCATGCCTTTGCCACCATAACTCAGCATAGGCTGTCACAAGTAGCCATGCAGCTTTCTTAATGCTTTGCTGCTTAGAAATGTCTTCGGCCAAATGGTCTGGTTCCCCACTCCTAAGTTCCAATTTCCACAAAGTCCTAGGGCATGGACACAATGCAGCCAGGTTCCTTGTCAGTTCACAGCAAAGTTGACCTTTCCCCAGTTTCCAATAAACCTCTTATTTCTATCTGAGCCTCCTTGGAAGGGTCTTTACTGTCCATATTTCTGTCAGCATTCTCTTGCCACCATGTAACCAGTCTCTATCAGGTGGGGTGCTGTGACAGCTGCCACCATGCTTGGGCTCTGTTTCTGAAGGGATGGTGGTTCCTGAGCTGGTGAAAGGGATGCGGGAGAAAGAGCAGGCGGTGTGCTTTGGGGTAGAGCACCAGGCAGGGAGGTCTGATTTGAGTTTGATTTTGGACATTGGGAGTTTGAGTTGTTTGCAAGACTTGCAGGTGGAAAAATCTAGTAGGCAATGGGAAGTGATGGGAGCTGTCACTGCTCATCTGTGAGAGCGTGTAAACTGGGGTCTCGGAGGACACGCAGAGCTGGTGGGGTGGGGTGGGCTGAAGCAAGGGTGGCGCAGGGATGCAGAGGTCTCTTTGTGGCTTGTTCCGTGATGGGTGGGGGTGGAGCGGGGACGCAGAGGTCTCTTTGTGGCTTGTTCCCTGGTGAGTAAGCCTTGGCCCTTTCTGGCTGACAGACTTGCAGCGTGGCCTGCATCCTGAGGCTTGCATGCTGTGCATGGAGGCTGTTAGCACAGGCGGGCCTGGGCATGCTTAGGCCCACATCCTGCAGGAGATGATGTCAGGCATCACACGTGCATCAGCTGCCCCCGCCTGGGGACCTACTAGAATGTCCCATAGAGTCATGGGTGGCTGCCACTGTCCAGGAGCGTTCAGAGCAGCCCCGAGTCTGAGGCTCCAGAATGTGCTTGGCCCACAGTCCCCAGGGAGTGCTTGTGAAAGACGCACTCGACTGTGGGCACCAGTGACCCTGTTATCACCAGTGACCAGGGAAGAATGGTCCATCTGATCATCTTGTACAAAAACGATTTTGCCCATTGATGTTTCTGTCACCCTCAAAGCAGACGCCCCATGCAGGGTGACGCATGCAGCGGCTTCCCCCAGCCGGAGGGCCGAGGCCCCACCATGCATGTGGCTCTCTCTGGCGCCGTCTCACCGGGGACAGGGCCTGGTGTCTCCCATGCTCGCAGCAGTGACGCAAAGGGCCGGTCCCTGTGCCTTTCTCCTCACAGGTTCTGTCCTCGGTGCGTTCAGGAGAAGAGGAAGAAGAAGTAGGAGAGGCTGTGTCCCTGGCTGCATCCCCAGAGGAGCAGGCGTGATCCTTCAGCACGCTGCAGTGTCTTCTTTCAGTTTAAGACCACCTTGTTTCAATTGAATAACTCAGTGGCCAGTTGTAATTCTGGATGTTTCCGAAAACAAGAAACCACCAAAACCTGTTTGCACAGAGGGTCAGTCTTGCAGGGGCTTGCCACAGTGACTTTATTCTTGTGACTTTCATCCAGACTCCCCTGCCCCGAACGCGGCAATTGCTGAGTGAGCCCAAGGGGACTCGGAGAGGGGTTGGCAAACTTGGGCTGCTAGGCGGACACATTTTAAGCCGGCACACTGCCACCACTCTGCAGTCAGAGGGTCGACCTCTCATGGTCATCTGTAGTTTACTGGGACTCTTTTGTGCAACACGGGGCTCCCCATGTCCCCAGTGCCACCGTAAGCACATGCGTCACTCAGTGAGCCGCGTGTGCGGAGGGCCCAGGGCAGCGCTCACCCGGTGGCTGTCCACACTCCGCTCTGACTCTGATTCCGGCGACCGTGGACTCTCAGCGAGGACACCTGTGACGTGCCTGGGAAGGGCTGTGGGCTCCTCCCGGGAGGAAGTGGCCCTGCCTCCCTGTGCACTGCCCTTTTAGTTTGGACTTGCGGCCCTCCCTTGGCCGGGTTTGCCTCCTCGGCCAAACGGCTCTTTGCGAGCCAGGAGCCAGCGGGCTGTCGGTCCCGTGGCCAGCACCGAGCATCCGGGCCGAGGCCGCGGCTCTCTGGGAGTTCCTGATGTTTTTACTGTGAAGATGGAGTTACTGTAGTAGCATGAAGACCGTGGGGTCTGTGTGTCTATGAAGTCGACTAAGCTGATTTTAAAACTCTGTTTATGCTGCATGTCACTCGACCGGCAGCTTATGTCCAAGGGGACTATGGTTGTGTGATGTGATTGTGAGCTCGTGTGTGCAGTAGCAGCTCCACAGTGAAGCTGCGAAACTAGAGCGTCCTTCGCGTTTAATCGGCGTTCACCAAACCGATTTTGAACCGTCTTTTTGGTAGTAGTTGGGGAAAAATGCATCCTTTTGGTCTGTCGAGACACATTTGTGATGGTACCTACTGTGTGACCTCAGAGAGCATCTTCAGACTCTCCGAAACCTCTGGCATGCGTTCGGAGGAGTTAGAGGATTCCCGAAGAACTCAGGGGAACCTGTTCCCGTCCTCACACCAGGAAAAGAAACCCGTGAGATAGAAGTGAAATGTGAAATTCCCAATTTAAGAAGAGCCTCCTTTTCTTTATGAGGAGGGTCATCTGGAGTGATAGACTTGTTTCCTTCTGATGGCCCCGTTAATAGTATACTTTCCTCCTAGTTTTTAATGTTTCACTGAGGAGAGGAGATAAAGCAGAAAGGAACTTGTGGAGCTCTGTATCCTAGACAGTGCCACCCTGCACATAAGTTAGCATTCAGTAAACAAGAACGTCAAGGGATGGTGGCGGTCAGGGTGGTCTCCAGATCTATGACTGTCAGCAGTTCTTTGTCCCCGCAGGGCCTTCTGACTGCCAGTCCTTTCCAGGAGCGAGCCAGGGCGCTTGCCGTCACCTGGCTGTGGGTGTGGGTGAGTTGGTGGGTGCTGACGCTCCCAGGTGTCAGGTGCTGGGCAGGTGAGAGGGCACGGCGGCTGCTGCGGTCCCTCCCTGTCGGCCCCCCAGGTCTGAGGGAGCTTTCTGAGAATGGATGCCATGCTGTGGCCCAGAAAGAAGAGGGTCGGGCTGGCATCAGCAAGAGCCGGCTGGTTCTCTGCTTCACACCCTCAGTCTCAGCTGTGGCTGTGAGACTAGAGATGTGTTTTTATTTAGTAACTTAGCTTTTTGTTAACGCATGTGTTTAAAAATGAAAGACTCTTTTACCATTTTTTGTGGAGAGGAATAGGTAAGTGTAGGGAGTTTTTAATAAGGCAATGCCTGATGACTCTTTAGAAGCTAATTTAATGCTGAGCAGTTCACACCCACTGTTACCACCGGGAGATGGTGTGTGTTGACGTAAGGTTTTTGATGGCTGCTTTGGTTTCGATCGATGTCTGGCTTCCTGAGGTCTTGCCGAGTCCACAGGGACAGCTGTCTTCTGTTCATGAAGCTTCTGTTTAACACGTGATGCTGTCTTCTCATCTGTCACTGTATGTCAGCCCATGTCTTGTTTTTAATTTAAAAAAATTTTTTTTCTATACTTATCTGTTTTTAGTGTTTATTTTTGCCAGTTACAATAATATCACCAAAATAATATACATATAGCTTTGGAAAAACCCCAGAAAACATGAGAATAGGAAAATTTCTGGGGCTGGCTGGTTAGCTCACTTGGGTGAGTGTGGTGCTTATAACACCAAGCTCGAGGGACCCCCGTACTGGCCAGCTGCAGAACAAAATAAAAAGAAAATTTCTTGGGCCGTTGTTTGGATCCTAACTGAATGCCTTTCCTGATGGTCAATACTGTCTGTGAGTGGGAAAGACTCTCAGGAATGGCCCTTCAGTTGGAAAAGAATGCCTTGTCACCTGGCTTGGCTTTGGCCCTGCAGGGACACAGGAGCCAGGCTGCTTGCACTGTCTGAGCATCACTCCAGAAGGCCTGGCTGCCCTCGCTCAGGGGCTTAGTCCTGGACCAACCCCCACCCCCACACCTGCCTGGCACTGGACCTGACCCTGGAGGTGGCCGAGGAACCAACTCCGTCTCTTGGATTGAGGGAGTTCTCTGCTGGACCTGGTGGGTCACTCCGGCAGCTTTATCTGAGCCAAGGGGGTGGGTTCTCCACAGCTGTGGGATTTGCCTGTAAAGGAAGGAGCGTTTTGCTCAGAGGAGAAGCAGAATCGTTTTCCTTGGTCTCAGTGCTCCATTATCAGTCAGCAATTTGAGGAGACCCTCTAGTTTTCCTATAGGATAAGGCATGCTACCTTAAAAAGTTTGTTAAACTGAGCCCCTCAGCCTGTGAATGTGCTAGTGGTGCTGTGGCCCAGGACACACCCCACGCCGACCATGCCCTGGCCCAGGTGGACGTGAGCCCAGTGTTGGTCAGGGCCATGGAGGCCGGTCTCTCCCAGCCCACCTGGTGCAGTATCGGCGGGAGGGTTTGCTGGGACGGACGGGGCCAGCAGCCAGCTCCGTGTCGCTCCCGTCCCAGATGGCCGTGCTGCACTTGCCTGCTGACCTGTCCCTGGGAGCCCTTGGCAGGGACTGCTCTGAGCAGTAGTGCCGCCCGAAGAGCAGCTTCCCCAGAGGACCACAGAGCCACGGTGGGCCCTGCCACAGGATCTGCAGATGAGGTCTTCGTGGTTTAAAATGACACAACGAGGGACATTTATTATGGGCATTGAAGGTTTGTTTCCTCAAGTTTTTAGTGAACAGTGATTGGTCTCATTATGTGTGCTGAGAGGACTTGTAAAAAGGGGAGTCTGAGAAAAATGTCATTCAGGGGAGAGTTCTGTGAAGTTTCTTTCTTCCTAGGTATGTATTTTGTGGTGTTCACCTTTACCACATTTCATCCAAAAAGATGATGCAGCTTTAACATGAATGTTACATTTTATTTTCAAGGAATTATTATCTATGTTCCCTTTGTAAAGGAAAGATGATATTGTAAATCTTTTTATTAAATAATGTAAAGATGTATATCTGTATTTTTGGATCATGTTATAGATTATGGATATATTGTTTAATAAATAAAATATTTTTTTGGAACAAACATTTGAAGGTGCGTCACATCAGGAAACCAGTGTAAAATTTCAACATTGTGCCCAGAGACAATAAGTGTATGTTAGGTTGAACTTCGGAGGGGATGTGCAGTGAACTGGAGGAAAGTCATTTGGGCAGTGTCACCATGAGCCTGGGGGGCACCCTGCACCTCCCCTTGGTTGGGTGCTCAGGAAGGTCAGTGGCTAGTGCTGGGTCCCCCCTGTGCCAAGCATCAGAAGTTGGTCCCCACGCTGACAAGGAAGACGCGGGCATCAGTGGGAATGCTGTGGGTTGCTTCTTAAAGGTGTTCTGTGCCTTCTCTGGAACACAAGGGTTACCCTTCAAGACTGGCATGGCTGTCAAGATCCTTTGGAAGCTCTCCTAGTCTGCTTGGGCTGCCATCACAAAATGTCACAGGCCGGGCGGCTTAATGAAAATTTATTTCTCATAGTTCTGGAGTTTGGAAGTCTGAGATCAAGGTGCCAGCAGGGTTGGTGTCTGGTGAGGACTCTTCCCTTGGGCTGCAGACAGCTGCCTTCCTGCTGTGTGCTGATACTGTGGACAGAGGGGGAGGGAGCTCTCTGGTGTCTCTTTATAAGGGCACTAGCCCTGTCCGATCAGGGCCCTCCTCTTATGACCTCATTTAACCTTAATTACTTCCTTAGCGGTCCCATCTCCAAATACACATTGGTGGTCAGGGCTTCCACATAGCAGTTTTGGGGGGACACAGCAGGAGCTGAGTAGGTCTCAGACATGTCCTTGAGCACTGTTTACAGAGTCCAGGAACAAGCTGGTGACCGTGATGACCGGAGTCTTTGCAGGAGGAGGAGCCGGAGCTCTGGAGGGAGGGTCCTGCACACGGCCCCAGCAGGTGCGGTGCCTCCTGCGCGCACTCTCCGAGGGCACCTGCAGCCATCTGATGGGCGACTGCCCCCGGGGAGAGGAAAAGCAGGTTCTTTCTGGTGGGTGGGGTGGGTGGTAGTCTTCACTGGCCTGCTAGAGTGAGTGCTTAGGTCAGCGAGTGATTAGCAGCATTTGAGAAGGCCCATAGACCCGCTCAGGGTGTCTGCCCGACGGGCCAGGGCCCCACACTAGGGCGAGGGAGTGGACATTCACCCCACGTGACCAGCCCGGGGTGGGG